AAGGGTCCGCGCGTTGCCACCAACAATCACCATAGACTCCATCATCAGAGCCAACTCAGCGACCTGATAATGTACCAGCTCGCTGCTGCAAGGCGGTTGAAAAGGCATTTCTGGAAACAGAGGGAACTGTGTCCCAGAAAGAGTACTTTCTATAACGGATTCACCAGGTTGCACAACATCGACCGCATCGGACGTTCGCTTGTTGGCGGGTGAAGACGTGTTGGGCTGGCTCTGCAGTTTTTTTGCTCTCGTCGCCGTCCTTTCCCCCTCCGTGCCAGTCTTGGCCGAAGCATCTTTGGGTTCACTCCTCTCTGGTTTTCTTGGGATGGACCCACGCCGCTCCTGACTTTCTGCATGAGAGACTGCTCCAGAAGGAGAACGCGCGGATGCCGCTGACTGCGCCAAGCCCGTCGCGGATGTCTTTTCCGCAGGAGCACCACCAGAGATGGTGGGAGCATCGGGTGGCGCAGTCGAAGCATCCCGCACAACAACAGTGGAAACTCCAAGCGTCGCCTCCATCGCAGCAACCTCCGCTGCAAGCGCCTTGCTTTCCTCCACGAGAGCACTATACTCCGGACTATCTGCCTTCACAGACCTCATCTTTTTATCCAACTTCCGCAAACCATCCTTCTTCCGCTTCAGTGTACGCTGCTGGCGCACAACCTCCTTTGCGTCATCGTTTTCTTGACCCATCAAAGCGGAGTCCGCCATGGTCGACGCAGACGTTAATTAGCAACTTAATGCACAACTATCCTTCACACAAAAATATCCATGATGAGAGGAAAAAGAAAAAAAAACAATAGTAATAATAATAATAGCAAAAAACTAGACATTCCGCGAAACACAGACGATTAAACGCAATCCCATCCCACACGCAAACACAATAGCAAAACAACTTTACAAAAAAAAAAAAAAAAAGAGAATATATTCGCTCAAAAACAGTTTTCCCCTTGACCTTTTCGTCCAGTTAAACACGTTCATAAAATAAACTTAAGCATGAATTACCGCACAGTGTGGTTAAAAAAATTTCTCACATAAACAACAAGAAAAAAAAAAATTTTTTTTTTTTTTTTTTCTTCTTCTTGTACGTACTGAAAAACAAACATTAATAAACCCTATGCGCTCACAATAAAATAAAGACTCCTTTACGCTTTGAACAGTAAAGAAAAAAAAAAAAACAACACGCGTCTGTACGTGCATGTATGTATCTGTACGGCGCAACAGCAAGACGGAGTAAAATGGAAAAAAGAACTTCGAAGCCAAAACTGAAGCAAAGAAGATTGAACAAATTAGAAAAAAATGTTTTGTGCACTTATTCCCATACGCGCACATAAATCCATGGGAGCACATACATACCTGGACGGATACATCGAAACAAATATATTCCTCGGACCGCGTCGTCCTGCCTCAACTGTGTGGCGAATATCATAAAAGCAAAAAGTTTAACATGAAAAAAACTCAAAACAAGAAAGTAAAAAAAATGATGATGATGGATACCAGTATTACTAAAAAAGCAAAGGAAAAAGAAAAAGCAGAAAAGAAAAAAAAAAAAAAAAAAG